TATAACCCTAGCAAAAAATATAGTTGTTTTTATCCAGTGTAAGACAACTTCATATTTTTCATATACATTTCTATCTTAGTTTCAAACCTGGGAGGTAGCAAGATTAAAATGTAGGCAGTAACAATCTGTGGGAAACTTCACATGATTTCCACATGGGAAAAAGTTCCTCTTAACATGCTGTACTTTCTAATACATTTATATTTTTTCTTTTTGATTTAACATACCTTCCTAAGCATAACCAAAACCTGAAGCCACAATTTAAGGCTATATCTATAGATTTGATTATTAGTTTTCATATAATCAAAACTGACTGTTTGATAGAAGTGAATTCAACTTAGTCTCTTTAGTAAATATGGACATCTAAGATTCCCTTTGTGGGTAAAAGGAAATTTGTACTTTCTAGAAGTGCACACCACACAGAAACTACTTTTTGAGGCATTGAGGCAAAAATATAGCAAGGTAAATAATTTGTGATGTATATCAATGAACAAAGAGAATTTCAACCATCATAACTCCCATCTTGATTTTTTTTCTTAACCACAGTCTTTGGATACCCCTGACCAGAAGAGAAGTACAGAATTGAAATCTTTTTAAACTTCTTCTCACATAAATTATAAGCTTGTTAGAAAGCAATTTTATTTTATGCTATTTTTGGAATGTCTTAAAATATTCCAAGAATTATTATTTATAATACATTAAGAAAAGGAGAAAAGATATAGTCAGGATCATTGATTAATCTAAAGATTCTAAAATGTTTTGAGATGAGCTGACTTAAAGGATTTCTTTTCCATTATTTGCAATGCTAGGGGTTTCTTTATTTATTTTTAAAAGTGGCAAGTAAAGCAGTGTATGCCCTACCATTCTTGACCTCTGGTTTGGTGTTCTATTCCTGGTAGAATGTTGGAAATGTTGTGTTGCTATGCACTTCTAAAATATATGAAATATAAATAAATGGAATCATTGGGGTGAAAATATATTTGGCCCACTGGAACTCTATTCAAGATGGTACTTTCCAATTTTTATAAAATAGTTCTTTTAGTTTTGTTATTTTCAGTAACTGATATTAAGCTAACATATCTGCAATCTATATATAGTGGAATATTGGAAAAGGTAATCTGTCTTTAAATCTTGTCAGGTGTATGGAGTGTTTTTTTTTCCTCCCACAAAATATAGCTAAATCACTGAAAGACGGGAGCACAAGATTGTCAAGGGACCAAGTGCTGAAAGATGCAAGGACAAACAATAGTTCTCAAGAAGAAGAAGAACCAGACCGTTGGGCTAGACGAAGAAAATGGTTCAAAAACAGCAAAAGGCATCCTTCAGCTAGAAAGTATTCTAAGAATAGCAGCTTCACCAAAGGATCTAGTAAGTACTGCGTTTGGTTAGAAAAGAAAAAAAAACGGCAAAGATTTGCAGATAAATTCATCACTTGGGAGTTGTGCCATTGCAGATTTTTTTTTTATTCAAAGTTTAGCAGTTCCAGAGGGATAATTGTAAAAAGCGACCTGTTTAGAATAAGGGCCAGGGAATGAAAGAGCTAACTATAATTTTTAAAATGAAAATGAATAAGGAGGAGATGGTTAAATACAACATAGAAGGGCAATCATAATTTTTTAAAAAATTGTAGTTACCTTTAAATGTTAATGAATTAAATTTTAACGTTAATCCTCTCTCAACATCCATTGTATGACTCATTATGGTGGGGTCTTTAGCATGTCATTCAGAGCCAAGATGCTTCTTGACCAAAAAAAGTTGGATTCCCAATTGAGACAAACCATCAAAGAAATCCCCAAATTGTATGTGTGAAGAGAACTGTAGGCCTGACATTTTTACACTCTAGTAATTGCACACGAACAACCCAGAGCCTTTTGATATGATCCAGCTCTTTAGTGGGCTTCAATTTAATTAGGGAGGTTTTAAGCTAGCCCTTCAAAACAAAGAAACTGTTTAAAATAGCTGATGCTAAGGATAAAAGGAAAAGACAGCAAATATTCATAGTTTAAGATATAACTAAAGATTTGCTGTATTTTTAATATCACAGAAAAATCAATGGTTTTCTGTCATAGATTAGGGAAAAATAATATAAACAATCAAAGAAAAACATAGATTAAGAAAACAAAAATTCTCCAGCCCTTTATATCTACATATAATGGTTTAAATAAGGAAAAAAAATAATTAAGTATTTTGAAAATGTATTATCAGTAAGACAAATATTTTATTTTTCTTCCTTTTGCCAGAATATAAACTTCATAATTGTCTTTGAAAGGCATAATTTCCACAAAATATATTGCTGAAGCTTTCTGTTTGAGGCTTAAACTTGCCTAGACTTGACTGTTATACACTCTCATGCACATGGTGCTGTGACATAAACGAAAACCTGTTGCTTGAAAGTGCTGTGTTATGAATGCCAGTATCCCTTATGTAACACCATGTTGATGAATGCTTTCTGGAGTGATTGAATTAACTGTGAATCATTCATCCATATGATCTAAGCTGCTCCTTGAAAACTCCTCCTCTCCTTAACTGTGGAACTATAAACAATATTATTGAGCTTTAAAATCAGTGGATTTTGATAAAGATCAATGCATAACACATGGACCTTCACAGGTCAAAAGGACAACAGAAAGGTAAGCTCACCTGGGCTTTTATGTGAAAATCTGTCTGTAATTTTCTTTTCTGTGAACCAGCAATGGTAATGTTGAATAACTTGTTGGAATGGAGTTAATAGGAAGAAAAAGAATCTAAGTATTGGAGGTGGGAAGCATCCCTTCTGTTCTTGTAAAACATTCTGTACTAAATAAAAGGAAATTATCAGATATTTTATATTGTATTAATCTGTAATGAAAATAACACAGGGTTAAGTATTAAAGTAATATATACATTTCTAAGGTGATGATGTTGACACAAAGAAATTCATATTTCTTTGTAAACATATTATAAGAGCAAATGGGTTAATGTGGAAGGAATATTAATCTAAAATCAGTGATTTTGATAAATTGGTTTTTTTAAACCCACATATAAAAATCAAAGTTAAAATGTATGTTCAAATAACAAAAGCCTCACTTGTGATATTACTTATTTTAGACTCTCCTTTTTGCTTCCCACACAAAATCCACAGCTTGGCAGTTTCTATTCTTAACATTAACAAGCATTCAGAATATTGGCTCATAAAACTAAACCTTCAAAACTCATCTGCTTTCCTAAGCAATAAGAAAGTATCTGAGCAAAAACATTCCTTACATAATTGGTAAAAATTCAATAGGATAGATAGAACAAACTTGGAAATAATGTTTGTGATCAACTTTATGTGTTTTTATACGATCCGGAAATTTAATATATCCTAGATTCTGAGTTCAAGAAAATAGCAACCTTTATTGTGTGATACAGATGTGGCTACTTTAAATGAATGACTTGATATGTGCCTTCTAATTAGCCAGGCTGCATGCACTTGCTTGTCAAGTTCACTAGAATCTGGCTAAGCCTCCTTTATGGCTGCTTATCTGGGACTACAGAAGCAATAGCAACAGCTAAGTTATATCCGAGTTACAAATCAAAGGTTTAATTGGGGTAAGAAAGCTGAATGATCAAAGCAAATCTTTTTACTCTTCTCTCTCCAATTGATAGAATGCAGATGTTCAGCATTTTGGACACTCCTGAGACCTCCCCTCCTGAAAGCCCACTGCTACTGCTTTGAGCCTCCTAATCAGGGTCACATATCATTTCTAAGCATGGAAGCACTCACCTAGCCCAAAGGGTGATCAGCATCATCTTTCTGTTCCTTCTGGGAGCTTGTGCTGATCAAATCTAAAGAAAGAAGGGTAAGGAAATAGTTCTAGTGATAGGCAAAAAGAAGGTTCACTTAATGAAAATGAAACCCTTTGTCTGAAGCTGACACTAATCTTCAATGCAATTTATGTTTATTTATTTTACTTATTTAGTTTGTCACAAACATGTACAAGATAACAGGTATAAGTAAGAACATGAACACAGGAAATGGGAACAAATAAATGGGGACAATAGGACTGGGACAGTAGGCATGCTGGTGCACTTATGCAAACCCCCTTACAGACCTCTTAGGAAAGGGAGAGAATTTAAGGTTAAAGCTATGGGGGTTTGAGGATGTAACAACAGTCGAGTAGTGCATTCCAGGCATTGACCACTCTGTTGCTGAAGTCATAGTTTCTGCAATCGAGTTTGGAGCAATTTGGAGATGTTAATCCGTTAAATGTTTTATACAGGTAATAAAATATTTAATATAACTTACAAAGTAATAAAAGAAGATGGTATAAGAACAGGATGAAGGCTGAGTTGCAACAATGCTTGGTCTGGTGCCTAGGGGAACAGTACCTTTCTTTTTAACCATGTTTTATGGTTTGTTGTGAGCCACCTAGAGTCATTGTATGAGATAATCCTGTCCATATAAGTCTTATAAATAAATAATATAAATAAATAAACAAAACTAAGATGTAACTTTATAGAGATGGAAAGAACAAGCCATTCAAATACTCAATTTATTTATAATAATGAGCAGAAAAATCATGACCAAGACATAAATGGAGGTGGAGGAGGCTTTTTGTTTTTAAGCATTTTTTTAACTAGTAGATTCTAATTTCTCGTCATCTTTTTTGCTTTTAATAACTTTATCACTTTCTTGATGACACCAGCAAAAACATCTGATCTTTCCTTTTTCCAATTCTTGCCTCTTTCCAGTGAATTCAGAACGTGGTTGTCCCTTGGATCTGGGACCACACAGGGAAAGTGAAGAACGGGGCTTCTACACAGAAATGTTCCACTCAGCTTCATGGATGTTCCAAGGGGATGATGCTAATGCAGATAATAATCTCAGATGTCTTAGCAAAAGGCCAGTCACTGGTAAGTATAAAGGATGTGATATGATAATGTCTTCAGAGAAGGCAAGTTAGACATTTTTTGTCATCATCAATTGCAAGATACTATCATTGCCTATAAAAAAAACAGTTGATAGGTAGGTAGGTAGGTAGGTAGGTAGGTAGGTAGGTAGGTAGGTAGGTAGGTAGGTGGTAGGTAGATAAATATATAGATAGTTAGATAGTCAGATAGTTAGATAGTCAGAGCCAAGGTGGCGCAGTGGGTAGANTGATAAATTCAGTCTGGGATGGTTCCTAGACCTTTCTGAAAAGAAACCAATTTATAATTATCAGAGTTGCAGTAGAATCAGAATACCCTAGGAGTATTGTGTCCTTTTGTAATCCATTAAAAATTATCATTGACCTGCCTAATTGACCTGCCTAATATGTTTAAGCAGTCTTACTTTCAGAATAGTAACATAATTCTTCTCTTATTTTTATTCTTCAGATAAATATCAACTGATGCCAACAGAACATTGAAAACAGGACAGGTGACAATCCAAGAAACACAAGATTTCATCATGAAGCAATGGATTTGCAATATCTGATAGAAGTAGAAACCATCTTATATGGAATGGAAAAGGAAATAACACTGATTTTTAAGGCAATATCTGAATGTTTTAAAAAAGAGAAGATAAGATTGTCCTGCTTAGACTCTTTTCTGCTCAGCAAATGATATTGTTACAGTGTAAATATTGATGACGTAGAAAAGACATCAAAGAATATACTACAATGGAGTGTAATTCTGTGGTCTGCTGTATAGAGAAGTGAAATATAATATCTTGAGTATGAAAATGAGTGTTATGATCCTCATGAAGAGTCACTGTATGGCTTGAAAGTCAAAACACTTTTAAAAACTCATCACAAAGAACATTGTTACAATTAGCAAAAGGCCACTAATTTCTTGACTAATCTTTCTGAAAAATCTGAAACATTCAAATATACAATCCAAATCGCAAGTCCATCCAATGAAAATAAGGGTTGGTAGGAAGGAAAATATATTGGTGGAAAGGAGTTATTGGTTAATTCTGAGCCTGGTGACGAAGTAAATATGCTTGGGCTCACATTTCACGTAATTTTGAAACTATGAAAATATTGTGTTTAACATTTTTAATCATTGAAGTGTCTTGCCATTCAAATTTTGAGTCAAATTCTGACTTTCAAGAGATACATTTTTAAATTGCATAAATTCTTACATCTCCTCCAGCTTTATTTGCTGACTCTGTGGAAGCTGCTTAGATATTACAATTAAGATTATTAGAGCCTTAAGAAGATAAAATGGATGTACCAGATACATGCTCAGTTGCCTTAAACTGGGAAAAAGAAATTGCTTCCTGTCTAGAGAATATGAAGCACTGCACAAGGGGAAAAGATTTCTATAAAGAAATGGCTATCGAAATGGAAAAAGCTGAATTGAAATTCAGCTATTCTACAGAAACCACAGAAGAAAATCACAGTTACCAAGAAATCCATTTTGGAAAGAAATATAATAAAGAGATGAGTAACACACTACAAATAAGGAACAACAGCTTATTTGAAACAGGGAGTGCTATGCTAACTTCATCCAAGGAATCAAAAACCAAAAGAAGATATTCTTTTCCAGTTCCATCCATTGATGTATTGTCATTGCCTCAGCTTAGAAGAGACTCAGGTTTTTATTCCATGCCATCTTTATCTTTAAAACTCCTCTCCATCCCATTCAAAGTAGTAACTACTTATAAAATGAGTACTAATAGACGTGTCAGCTATACAAAACCTTATTCGAGTTTCACATCATTGTCTGGTACTCTCACAGATCTTAAATCCTCACGCTGCTACGCTTTTGCTTCATGCGATCACAATATGAATGTCTGTCATACTAAGCAAGAAAGCAAATTCAGTAATACTTTTTCGGAGGACAACTATTTAGAATACAGACAGAATAGTAAGGAAACAGGGAAGGTGACAGTAGAAGACTTTCATTCTATTATGAATTCTTGTCAAACTCAAAAAGAGAAATATAGACCCATTGAGACATCAACAACCCCAAAAGGAGGTAAGGAACATATTACCTTTGAAAAAGATGGTTTTGTTGGCGAGGAAGTTCTGAGAAGCAAAGACCAACAAGTTCAAGTCCATGAAAAACTACCAAACAAAGTAACTGCAAATCAAGACTCTTTGCTTTCCGAAAGGCTATCAAGTGGCAATAGCAATAATAACATTTCTGCTAAGCTTTCCGTAGAAGACATTCAGGGTCACGAATCAGTAATACAGTCAAACAAAAATCTTCTGCAAAGTATTTTTGAGCCTAAAGAAATGAAAAAAACCCAGAGAAAATCAGTCGTGACTGTAATAACAGGAGAATTGGAACAGAAGCTCATCATTCCAGGTGACATTAAATCTATGGCAAATTCATTCGGCTTGGCAATAAAAAAAGAGCCCAGCAGCAAAAGGGAAACAGTATTTATGTTGCCTCTTTTGGATTCTGAAGAATCAAGTCGAGTTAATGAATTCCAAAATTGTACTGACATTCAGAAAATGTCTGAAAACATTCTGGAAGATTCTGATCGCCAAGATTATTCTATGCAGTCTGAGCATCTTTCAGCTGGGGACTCCTTTACAGATGCTCCAGAGATGTTGTCCAGTGAACAACACATAAGTCTCTCTCATCATCCTGGAAGTCATTTAGCAGATGTTCAGACAGGGACGTTATTCAAACCCAGCTCTGAAAAACGAGATGAAGAAAAGGAAGCAAATATGAATGTAGTCATGACCTCAGTCACATTCTCACCAGTAAATCAAGCTGATCAAATAGGCAAGTAATTTTAGCTTTCTATGAAACAATAAAAGCAATCTCTGTAAAGGCAAAAGTGACAATGACACAGGACATGATGATTTTAAAATAGTCATCAGATTTTTGATTCATATATAGAATCTGTTCAAACATATCCTGTGCAGTTTTCAGTGTTGTTCCTGATGTGATGAGCCCCCAACTAACCCCCAACTATTAATTTTTGGTTATATTTTAAGAACATCTAAATAAATTTTACATTAACTGCAAACTCATATATTACCAACATTAAGTTGGCTTTAGGAATATTGACAATGATTTGATCCTTCAAAATAGTTTTATTTTTTTATGCAGAATTTGAATGCTATTTCTTATGTAAGTAAAACAGTATATGTATGCACAAAGCAGTTCTGACTTATCTCCAGAAATTGTGAATGCTCCAAAACTGGAAGTTTTTAAGAAGAGATGGATAACTATTTGTCTGAAATAGTATAGGGTTTTCCGCCTGAGCAGGGGGTTAAACTAGAAGACTTCCAAGGTCCCTTCCAACTCTGTCATTCTATTCTGTTCTATGTTTTGAAAGAGTGAAATAGATAATTGCATTTTTTTAAAAAAAAATCAATTGAGAAATATAATCCCCAAAATAAGATATCAGTATAATAAAAGGAATTATACATAGACATTTCAGAAATTAATAAAGGACACATTTTCTTCACCAATTTTTAACATTAAAATCAGACATTGCTTTTTATTTCTATGCCAAACCCTACATTCAATTGAGTCGTGAGAGTTCTTCACAAAGTTTAAACATCCATATTTGGGTGTCTGTGTCTGTGTCTGTGTGTGTGAGAGAGATGTCTGTTGTCTCTCTGTAAATATACTCTAAAGTAAGAAACACCATCTCTTCCACAAATATTCTTCCCTTTATCATGATGGCGTTATTTGCCAATGCTCTCTTTTTTCTAAAGTTTTTGTCCATCAATGACCCAGAAAATAGGAATGTGTTTAGAAAAATACAGATACTCAAATGGTTGTTGAGACCAGTGGTGGGTTTCAAAAAATTTTGGAACCTCTTCTGTAGGTGTGGCCTGCTTTCTGGGTCCACTGGTGGA